ACTTCTTTATTCCTGGCAAATTGTAATCAGTGAACCCCCAACCACTCGTGGTTTATTCAGCAAGCCATGGCTTAACTAACACGAGGTGTGAATTCACCCACCAGTAGCACTTATTTGAGACATGCAACTAGGCTCACTGGAGAACCGGAATCTTGCATGAGATGTTTTGCAAGTCAGATGTTCTCTGTCAGGGACGTTAAACAGGCAGAAGTTTGCAGAAGTCAGGACATGAAAACGATGGGGCCAACTGCAGGGCCCCACTGGTCTTCCTTGCAACACTGTCTCTTCACAAATTGAGGAAAGGATCAGGAGTAATCAGATTGATAGTGGGATGGTGTATCAGAAAGAAACATGGTGGGGAATGACTTAAAAAAAAAAAAAAAAAGCCATGGTTGGATAAAGCCAGCACAGAGTTGCCATTCCAGGGTAACAACTAGAGACAGAATATCATACCAGCTGGTCTAAAATAATCGGGGTGGCTGGGGTTTTTAATCTCATGCAAAAAGCTAGCAAACCAATATTAGTTCAGCACAAATCCTTTCTATTCCACCCCGCACCCACCTTTTTTTTTTTGCTTTCCTGTTATGAAAAACTACTACATGGCAGACCTGAGGGCTGGGTGACCCCTCAGCTGCTTCATCTCTTTAGGAGGCAAGATTTTGCATAAGTGAGCAAAAGACGTGCAGCAAGTTATTTGCCATCTCCTTTTTTTCACGCTATCCTCTTGCACTTTTATATACTATGGGGGCAATTAAGGATTTATCTAGGCTGCGAAGCAAGAAACCATTTCATTGCTTGGGCTCAGGACTAGCTGCCTCCAGCCTCCCAGTCTCTGCCTGTACACCCAGTTACCTAAAGAACTTTCAATGTCAATCAAGGATTGATAAGAATAGTAACTTGGAAGTGGGGGAGGGGGAACGAGTTGCAATCCAATTCTGACCCATTCAGAAAACCTATGTGACCTGAACATCCAAAGTGACTGATCAGATCTGATCCAGAAGCATTTTCTGCACAAGTGACAGGGAGAAGGCATTCAATTCAGTTTGAAGGGGAGATCTACAGTTAAGGGTAGAAGCATTGCGCAGAATGATCCAAAACAAAAGGTTTAACCTCTGCCCGTATTCTGCACAGCTTACCCTTTTATCTCCTTAAGACCACACAAAATGACTTTGTTGGGAGAGGGCAGTATCTAAAACCAGCGCACCTTTTCCCAAGTCTCTACTTGTTCAATTTGATCTAGCACATTGGCCACAATGCAGAACCCATCAACCAAAGAATGCCAGCCGGCGGGGCCTTTTCAGCAGCGGCCCCTGCTCTGTGGAATATCTTCAAGATTAGAATGCCCCCCCTCATCCTGTTGGCCTTTTGTAAGACTTTAAAAACCTGGCTGTTTCCAAGCCTGGGGCACTTAATGGTGTTCCTGGCTTTACTGTTAACTGGCCGAGTACCTTGGCTACTCTGTTTAATTTTTTTAAGTTTTAAAATATTTTTGTTTTTATAATTTTGGAATTTTAAGCAGCCCTATCAATATAGGTTGCGTCTTGCCTTTGGAACTCATTGCATGCCAGAGTTAAGCATTTATTAAGCATTCTGGCTTAATAAATCCCATTAGCCTCCACATGAGTGGCATCTTAATGCTGGTTTAGGTCTGGAACTTGGACCTTTTGAGGTATTCTTTTATGGATCAGTGCTTCTTACTGGTAAGATAAGCAAGCTTTCTTCAAAAAGGAGATGTGTTCCACCCACACGCATAGGATAGATCCTTAGGCCTCCATGTATGCTTTTTATGTGGTAACATTGCCATACACTGAATCGAACCACTGCTTTTAACTAATTCATATTGTTTTAAGATCTACAATATGGCAGCCAGGCCATCTCTACTGTTGGCCGGGTTCCATGTTTCAACTTTTTACATTTCAAAATCTTAAAATTAGAAAACATTTCCAAGAATGCATCTGGACCACCTGGAGTAGCAGCAACAACTGTTTAGCAACTTTGTGGTTGAGTGGCATGTTTGAGGTGCTCTTCACTATTCACAAAATGGCAGCCGATGAGAAAACGTTGTGTGCCTTTGTGTCAGTGTTGACTCCTGGTGACTTCCTGCACGTGTCCTTGCAGTTTTCTTGGCAAGAGTTCAGATGTGGTTTACCCCTGCCTCCTTCCCAGGGCTGGGAGAGAGGGGACTGGTCCAAGGTCATCCTTTGTGCCTAAATTTCTAGCCTGGTGCTTTAACCATTATACCAAACTGGCTCTCTCTTTTGAGATGCTTTCCAACATTTCCCTTTATATTTGGTTTCTCTACATTGCTCTCATCCCGACAGGTGATGGCACATTTCCAAAGAAAGAACTGAAATGCAAGCCCTCTTTGTTTGTACAATTGCTTTCTTCAATGTTTGAAAGAAATGCTCCAGACCTCAGGTGAATACAGCACCTCTTTGCTATACAATGAAGCAGCCTGTTGCCCCTCAACCCTAGTTTTACAAAAACCTGACAAAAGTGGTTTTAACAAGCCAAATAAGTGAAGGCAGTGGAAAAGCAGAATTTATTTCCCAGGTTCAAAAGACTGAAAAAAATAAACCAAGCTGTCTTAAATGACCAGAAAGATTATCATGCTTGTGTGAGATTCAAAGCACATTTTGCAAATAATTGTCAAACATGGAAGACCTGACAGGGCATACACTGAGTTCAGCTAAAATAACATTTTTTATAAATAAAGTTTGGTGCTTTACAACACGCTACTTCTCCCTTCAATTTTTAAAGTGAAGAATCTTTAAAATATTAAAAGACTGATGGACTTTAGTCTAGAGTCTTCTATAGGCAAAGCAGATGCTCACTGAGTAACACAGCTCCTCTTCTCTGTATTATTTCATCTTCTAAAGAGGAGAGAGTCACACATTCCCATGTCAAGATGCCTAGCAATCAGAATCAGCCAGGAATTAACCCCCCTGATTTTCCCACAAGGAGGCAGCATACAAAGTAATTTAGCCTGCCTGGATGGAGACACCTACTTGAAAGCACAGCAATTGGTTTGAATGCCAATCAAGGTCTTTTTAGCTGTGACTCACTGGTGTGTGCCTGATGTACACCCACACATACAGCCCAAAACACTTCGTTGCCTGAGGTGAAACACAGGGTAGAGCCCTTGACTGTACAGAAGTTGACATTATACACAGACTGAAGAAAAAATAACAGACCTTGTACATACGAAGTTGGCAACTGAATATTATTCCAATACCGATGACAGGAAAATGTCCTCGACTGCATTTGATTAGCTTAAGTCAGTGACGGACAATTAGATGCAAAGAATACTATACGCAGACTAAACCTGTGAATAGTCTCCCATTTCAGATTTCAGGCAATGTTTATTCAAATATGAAAAGAGAAGTATGTTTTCCAGACTACTGCATAACAAGGGTAGAAGGATGAAAATCCTTCAGATCTTGTCTTATCAAACATTTTGTAATAATATTAGCAACAATCTTTTCTCCTTGTTATTTTATGCATCACCAATATAATTTGAATATGATGTTCACAAAAACAAACAAACCATACCTTGCAGCCAATAGAAGCAATGATGACACAAGGCCTTATTATACGAGTTGGTATTGTATTTTGAACTGATCTCTGGCATTCAGTAGAATCCCTTAATTTCTTTCTGAAAAGTTCCAGAGATGTCCACAGTATGCAAAGTACTGTTGTTGAATTATTTTATTCCTATTGACATAGATGTAATGGATATTTCAATTTTTATGCTTTGAATATCTCATAGTATAATATGACAACCCATTCTAAATAGTTGTGTGCATATTTCTTCCTTAAAGGTTATTAAATCATCCATACATTAAGCAAGTTTGAACTGCCAGGTGTATACTATTTTTTTTTTAAAAAACTGAAAATAGAACCCCACTGGTTTTTTTCTCCTCCTTCTTTTGATGCTAAGTAAACAGACAAATGGAACCCAATTAATTGCACATTAAATGACAATATGCAAGACTACCACAACAGTCTGAATGATAATATTAATGGGAATTCTTTTATATTCCCTCACCTCCGAAACCATAAAATACAATAAATGAGTTAGTGTGCAGGACCAGCCCTGGCAGCTACTCCCCATCTTTCATCACCTGCTGAGAGTGAGTCATAGGCTCATGTATATTAAAGGGATTTTTTGCACTGAGGAACCACTATCAAAATGCAATTATTTCTTAGAACAGTTGCTTTTCAAACCAGCATTATTGTCTCATATATTTATATAATTTATTTCCTAAGTTTCCAAACCAGCTTTTCCTAATTGTTGCTTTACTTAAAGCCAGCAAATACTTCCAATATCACTTTCAAATTCTGGCTCATGTTTGCCTAGAATGGCAATTTATGGTTTGCCAAAAGGAGACGTCAAGTATCGGACATTTTCATTCATCAATTCAAATGTATGGAAGATTTATTCTTGAAAACGATGTAAGTAGGAACAAAGGGCATATTCGCTATAATGGGGAAGACTGTGAGCCTGTTGTCAGTGGATCGGGAGCTCATTAAACATGGATAGTTGCAAGACCATCCCTGACCTTGCTTGTATGATTTTTTAAAAAAATTCTTTAATCCAACATGGAGTCATGCAAAGCCGTTCTCTGTGAAGATACAAGAGCCCTCGTGACTAAATGTAAACAGGAAACTGTGGCCACTCAAGTGCCACTGAATTATGGCTCCCTCTCTCATAATATATGATGAATGGGCTGCTGGGAACCAACTCAGCCACACCTTCTTAAATTTTCTGCCACTGGGAATACACTTCTTTTGTGATGAAAGAGCAAGCCAGTTCTTGGAGGCTTAAAGCACTTTCAAGGATGCAGAGTATAGAAATATTGCACGCTGTCCTGGAATCATGAAATGAACTACAAGCATTCTAATTAAATGTCATGCTGCTCTTTGTTATTTGAGGAACAGAGCCTTTTCAGCAGGCTATTTCAATTACTTCCATGTGATAAGGAGACAAGATTCAATTATTTCAAACAATGTTTAATGGGTGATCTCTCCAGTTGCAACCTGGCAGCTCAAAAGCCTGAGTAAGGGACAACAAACTTTTAACTCCAAAAACATAATTCAAAAACCATGCTGAAAAGAAACACTGTGAATTGTCAAATTCAGGACTCTTCCAGTTCCTTGAGGTACTTATGTTAACTCCCTGGGCATAACCCGATTTACCGTCAACATATGAGACTTTCCTGCACCAAGAGAGAAGGCAGAATGGATATGAAATAAATGATTTTAGCCAGTGTCCCATTTATGAAAAGGTCCCTAAAAATAACTAAGCTTCCTTAAGATTACACACACAATTTTTCCCTGTAATGAGCCGGCTGAAGGATACATATTGGATATATTCAAGTATTTATTCCATAGATTCTGCTAACATCCCACACAGCTCAAATTCACACAATTTAATTCCTCCTAGAATTTCATGCTATGCAAAGGAAATACAAGGACAATCTGGTGCCTTTCTGATTTCAAATAGATTTTTTTTTAAAGATCTTTTTAGGGGTTGTAGAATCCCAATGTCAGTTTTACGTGGGCAGATGGACGGATAGCCCTCCTGGGAAAAAGAATTTACTAGGAAATTCTGAGAGTGAAAGCTGGTCCCAGAATTCAGGGACCTTGGTATTCCAGCGTCTCATGATTATTTGACAATTGATGGTGGAAGACAGGACACAAGGAAACCAAGAAACAAAGCTCTTCTGTTTCTACAGATTAAGCACACAGTTGTTACCTCCCTTTCAGGCCTCCTCAATCAGCTTCTCTCATAGGCACCAAACAAGGAGACAAGGTTCTTATGTAGACAAGCAGGTTTGAGTATGGGAAGCAATTTTAGAGCCTGATGCATCCTCATTTTGGAGCAATGAACGGAACAGAGAGCCCAATCTGAAGTCCTCAGCGTGGACAAGCTGCCTTCTTGGATTAGCAACTAATGGGATTTAGCAACTCATCCAATATCTCTCTTCAATACAGGAAGAGAAGGGGCTAACTGCCACTTTGGATTAAAGACACCCCCATCTCATAAAGAAATGCAGCTCTCTGTTAAGCTGTTTCTAATTAAAATAGTGCCTGCATGTCCATCACCGCTCCTGAGCAACCCAACCCTGGCCAAAAGGACCTTGATACTAAACAGGAGGCAGGAAATTGGGGGCGGGGGAGAGAAATAAAGATTCAAAATGAAAGTCGCTAGTTAATATGGAGATGTCAATGGGAAAGCAGAAGGAAGCACAGAACACTGTCTTTTGGTCATGTATAGAAGCCCAGAATCCTCTACATGGCATCCCTTAACCCACTCAAGCACTTTGATTCATAGCACGCTCCTAGAAGTTAGACAATTCTTAAAACAGATTTTAAACTCTCAATTCAGGCTGAAGAAAGACAGGAGATGCACAGATCTCAATTCGGAGAACATTCATTTCCTACTGAATGTTTGATTTGCCTTAAGACTCTAAGCTGACAGAAATAGTAAGGAAACACCCATTTTGAGTTATGAACCACGTCATACTCATCAACCCTCCCCCATATCCAACCAATGGAAAAGAGCAGATAGGAGACAGTAGCTACATAAAACGAGTTTAATATCCAATGGGAGTGCACAGAGGTCGTGGTGCATCCAACTGTTCAAAGAGGGGGGGGAGAGGGCGAGAAAAACAAACAGGGAGCCATGGCCCAAAATATGAAGAAATCAGAACTAAGGGGAAAGGAAACCACTTTACACCAAGCAAAAAGGGGCTGAGGATTTGAGGGGGAAGTGGCAAAGAGAGAGCAAAAGAGGAATAAATACACATTTGCCAGGAGTGGGGAGGGAAATACACAGTACCAACACTGTCCAGAGGCAGGGAGTGACCCGAAAGTTACATGCAGTGACCTGGGCTTGACCCTAATACAATCATTACTCCCCAAAATTAACGAGGGAGGGGGAAGGAAATAAACAACTCTGCCACTTCCCCCAGCGTGGGAAAAAGAAACCTTCATGGGCCGGCGTACAGATCCAAGGGTGGCAGGGGGAAGGGAGGGTTCTCCATTGGCGTCATATCATGCAACAGGGCAGCCATGAGAGAGCCCCCTCCTCTGTGAGTTCCAAGGGGAGAGAAATAGCCAGTTGGTTGGTGGAAACGTTTAGCAGCTGGGATGTCCCTGCAAGTGTGCATATACATCCCTTGGATGGAAAGGCCAGGCCAGGTAGCTAAGGGTGGCATTGACATCTGCTCAGGTAGCTTTTGATAGCCACTGGTCCCAAAATCTTCTGCAGCAGCCCATCGATGCTGATCCCCTTTTAGGGATGGGTTGAGGAGAAGTGGGGGGGGGGGGGGAATTGCATGGCTTAGGAGACATTATTCAGGGCTCCAGTGCCATTTGGTCTAAGAGGTTGGAATGCAAATGATCCTGCTCATCAGCAGCACAACAGAGCTAACTGCATGAGTCACCAATGAGGTTGTGAACAGGATAATAAAATGGACAGCAAGAAATAGAGCAGGACATTCAATAGGATTGCAATCTCATTAATGCCAACAGGGGGAGCCAGCTAATTCAGACAGGACAGCAAGAATACTTACTCTGGGGAATCTAAAATCCTTCTAACCCCCCCCCCCCCCCCCCCCCCCCGCAATTCTTCCTTGTCTCCCTCTGCCCCTGCACGTGTGGAGGGTACACACCATCTCCCTTATTCCTGGCCTCATGACACACAAATTTTCCACCAACCTGCACCAACAGCACACAAAAGCAAGAAGCAGCTGCCACTGAGGAATATTGGTCACCTCTGAACAAAGAGAGCCAAATTTCACAGACCACCAAAAATACAAAAATTGATCCAACTAAACGATAGGGGAGAGGAAAAGAGAAAGAAGAAGAAAAAAAAAAAAAAAAAAGAAAGAAAGAAAGAAAGAAAGAAAGAAAGAAAGAAAGAAAGAAAGAAAGAAAGAAAGAAAGAAAGAAAGGCCACAGAATTGGCATCCAACTCCCACTTGTCCCAACCCTCCCACTGCACCCATATATTTTATTATCTCTATATATATATTTATCACACACGCACGCGCACACACAGAGACCGTGCAAAAAATCCTGGCAGAACCAGAACATGAGAAAGAGAGAGAGAGAGAGAGAGAGAGAGAAATCAAAAGTTAGCCCCAACCACCCCCCTCCCGCCCCCTCCCCCCAACAGCAACCGGTGCCGGCAAGAAAAGCAAACCCAACAGGGAAGAAAGGGTGTGACAGGGGAGGACAGGAGGGAGGGGATCAACCCAAAGTAGAACCAATGGTGAGGGGCTTGGCCCACCACCCTCCCCTCCTGCACTCATTTCTTGTTCTTCAGCTGGTTGGCCAGCCAATCTAAGCCCTCATAGAGGCCATCTCCACTGGTGGCGCAGGTGGCCTGGATGTACCAGTTACGATGGCGCAGTGAATGCAGGCCCAGCTTGTCCGTGATTTCTGCGGCATTCATGGCGTTGGGAAGGTCCTGGGGAAGGAGGCAGAAATGAGAGAGATGAGAAATTAAACATGACCAACAGTGCCCCAAGACTGTCAAAAGGAAGACCCCAGAACAAAAGGGGTGCTCAGAAAGTAACCTCTGGAACTGATTAGGAGCCAATGCCTTTCGTATACACCCTTCTTCTGTCTGGGAGGGCCCTGAACCAGTCCCATGCAAGGAGCTGATAGGAATCTACTGCAGGGAATCACTTTTGGCCTGCAGAGCTTCTCCACCTGCTCCTCGTGATAAGTTTCTCTTTCCTGTTTCATTCTTAGCTTTGCTGTTCTGTCATCTGGTTCTGTAGACTGGGGAGTCCATTCATGGCCTCCAGGTCTCTACTGTAGAGTCCAAATCCCAAAAAACCAAAGCATGTAATTTTGAGGCACAAAGCTCATCAAAGCAGAGATGTCAACCTTAAAATAGTTTTCATAAGAAAGCTCTTGGAATTCCCTCCTGTCCTACACAAAGGCCTGAAATCCCTAGCCTGCATTATAGAATTGCACAAACAGTCTCCTCCCTCTGTCAGTTAGGAAGGATTTTATATAAAAATCCAATTGCTGGCATGGAGGAAGTTTGCACTTACTTAATCTGTTGTATTACTCAGTGATGTGAACAGATAACATTTAAAATTTTTTATGAATTACTAGTTTAAGCTCCAGCCTTCCTATCACATTCATCCAGTTGCTTTATCCCAAAGATTTACTCCCAAGCAAGCACTCTATGAAAAGATATTTGGTGTTGTCACAGAATAGAAGCTTCATAAACTGTTACCGTACATAATAATCATGTGTCAATGTTCTGTCCAAGTGACAGATGAAGAAGACAAGGACAGGGGAAGAGAGGGAAGAGCCACCCCATTTCACTTTAAAAGAAACTTTTGATGATAGGATTAAAAGTCCAATGTTAAATCGTATCAACAGGCTCTGTTTCATTCTACTCATATGTGCAAGCCTGGGAATAGTGCAGACATAGTTCAAACAATATTACTTTGCATAACTAACACTGCTTTTGCTAATGACAAGGCATCAGAGCTTGAATCTAAACCTTATTTAGTATATTTTAGATTTCCAAAGAATAGCAAAATTACAGCATCCAGTCTGAAGCGTATTTTTCCAATGGAAGATCACATAAACAGTGTTGAACAGACCCTAGACTCCTTTCAGAAACAGAATTTAACTGTCAACCCCAGAGTTGCTGGCCTTGGATCATTTCTACAGCACATAGCTGCCAATGAGTGAGAAATGTTTCCCCTCAATTTTCAGCTGTCCTCACTTGCATGGCAGTAGTGTCATGTCATTCGTTTTCAAGAATGCGTCACAGAAGAGTGCGTCAAAGCAAGGTGGCAGCAACTTAATAGAAATAGCAACTGATGGAAGAAGCAAATGCATCTACACACGTTTGGCACAAGTATTATCAACTCTGCCATGGAAAAGAATTACTGAACCCATTTCCCACATCACTTGATGTGTAAACTATAAGCACACCTGCATGCTGGCCAGCTACACAATGTAGCAAGGGAAAAACTTTACCTAGATCAGGGAACAGACTCCATTGAGATTGGTGAGATTAACAATCTCTGTTGTGTTTTTCTTTCCCTCCTGGGCCAGCCTGAGTCTCTTTCCAACACTACTCTTCTCCCAGGACTCAAGGAATGTTTCTGCCCTTTTTTATTTTTGTAATCCCTTCTGAGTACTTCCCTTAAGGCTTCTACGTGACTCTCTATAGAGCAAAAGTAGATGGACAAGTGTGTACATATGTGCTGAATGGAACAGACAATAATTACAGCTATGGTGCTCTACCTTCCTTACATATCTCACAAATAAACCCTAAATCTTCTCTCCTGAAGGAATGTGATTCTCAAACACCTACCAGCTTCCCAAACAGGTTTTCTCCTGAATTAGCGCATAGGTTGGTAACACATTGTGAATCCCAAGCTCATCCATTAACACAAAAAGATGCTACATGCCCTTTTCAAATCTCAGTACCAAAATTATCTCTGATCCACAGCAAACTGGTAGGCAGAATGCATTTAGGTTGGATGCAAATATCAACTATTCTCCATAGAGACTTGACCTGGAACCAACCAGCCCAATGCTCAAAGCAATCGTCCCATTCCAGACTCGCCTGTTTGTTAGCAAAGACAAGGAGAACGGCATCTCGCAGCTCATCTTCTGCCAGCATTCTCATCAATTCCTCACGTGCCTCATTTACTCGTTCTCGGTCATTGCTGTCCACTACAAAAATCAGACCTGAAAGGAAGTATTGTCTGTTTATTTAAGTGTACAGAAAAAAATATGATTAAAAGAAATGGGGTATTTTATAAAGCAAAGTATGAAGAAATGGAAGGTGGAATTATGACTCCTTCAAAAGAACGGAATTAACATATTAGAATTCTGATTATTACAATGGGCAGATCAGTCACTCAAAAGTGCTGGAAATTTAGATAGAGAAAAGCAAGGATATGAAATAGCCTCCAGATTGAATTCTTCCATGGGAGGAGGAAGAAAAGGCTTTCCCTTGGAAGCCCACAGGTTATTTACTAAACAAGAAAGACAGGGGGGGGGGGGGCGAAATCCACTGGACTTCAAATCACACTTCCAAAAGAGCAGTCTTAATAAATTTACTAGTAGATTAATTTTGGGCTAACAATCACAACAATGCATTTTTACTTTTCCCTTGTCCTAAATACATGAATTGACCTAGTTTACACACTTGACTGGTAGAATTATGCACTAAATGAAAACATCAGCTTTTAAACTCTTCCCTTAGCAAAGGGCATTGCCTTATAAACCAATCCCCCCAAATAAACACAAAGATAGAAGTCCAATCAAGGTGTTTAAATCAGCCAATTAATCTCATACCATAATCAAGAAGCCCGTGTTAGGCTGTCAGATTCAAGAAATCAAGGGTTCTTTTATAGTCCATGGATTTCAAACTGTATCAGATTATAATAAAACCCTAATTCTGCAGGCTGGAAATGTTCCACTGGATCACACTGAGTCACTCTGATTAGAGCTACTAGGAAGCAGGTTATTCTACACCAGTTTAGCAAGACAGGCAAAAAAAAGCAACTAGTTCAAATATTTTTTTCTCCATGTATCTAGCTTGCTCACACATGCTTGAATAAGTGGACCGAACAGAAAGTCTGAAAAAATGCAAAAAGGCATTTGGTCAATTAGAGGCAATTCCTAATTTGCCTGGAGTGATTAGCTATTTAAAGCCTTGAAAATTAAAGGAATGGGATATTTTTGGCTGAGTTGCAAAGCTTATTTCACCACCACATTGTTCTTAGGGTTAGCAAGGACTTCATAATTCTTAATCTATGCATACCATTGTATAACTTATGACCACTGCATAAGTTTAAATCTCAGCAGATTCCAAGATAATTATCTCATGGGAAAAAAAGGAAACAAACAAACAGCAGTGTTATCAGACACATAAACTTGCTGAGCATCTTGGCTGCTTAGAAATCACTGCTTCATTTTGAAACTGAGAGACAGCTACTGCTTAATCATTGCCTCTCTTGTGAAGAATGTGCCAAGGGCTTCAAATGGACCCTGCAATTAAGATCGTTTAGACAGCTCTTCCTAATAAAACATTCTCTAGCTGTCTCACAAAACAGACGGATCAATTGAAAGCTTTTAAAAATCACGAAAGTGCAAAGAGAAGGAAGCTAACAGAGACTACCTGTGACTGTGTTTGGACCTATTATGTGTATTGCCTCTGTATGGATTCAAGAATTTTTCAAAAATATAAACAATACCAGTACAACGAAGCCGTATAATAAAACAATTCATCGCCTAATAAACCCATGTCAGCTAAAAGGAACGTGGAATAGGGATGCCTTGGAAAGCAATATTATTATCTGGGTGGGTGCATATTTTTAAGTGCCGCACAAGAGCTTACCTCTGAAAACAGCAACTTCAAATGGATCTCTAATTAAGAAGCAAAAGAACCTTAAAGACCTGCTAGTGTGAAGAGCAGGGAGAAAGGGAAAGCACCACTTTGTTAATCCCAATAAAGAAAAGATTTCCCCCTTCCTCTTCCCTTCCCATACCCTGGGTATTCTGAAAGTAGTGTCGCCAGAGGGGGCGTATCTTGTCCTGGCCACCGACATCCCATACAGTGAAGCTGATGTTCTTGTATTCAACCGTCTCAACGTTGAACCCTGAGGAAGAATAACATGGTCAGAATTTGGGCTGCACGGCAGAAATGTAGCCCACTCTGGCAATCGACATGAAGGGACATCCAAGAGTAGGACCGAGAATCAGGCATTACAGAGGTCACAGGTAGTCTTCACATTCAGAAATAACATCCCTCGTATTAACAGGACTTTGCCTATATTTATAAAAGTGCAGACGGATGTACTGCACACCAGGATTAAGTTGCTGGACCTGTTTTTCCGTCTCATGCCACCTCGATGTAAAAATGAAAGGAGACAATTCTCCTGCTTCCATTTAGAATTTAAAAGAGGACCTTAAACTTCAGAATTCATCAACAAGAAGTACTTACTGATAAAACACGTCACAGTGAGAGATCTTAAAAGCACACCACATCCCCAATCAGAAACCCAGCTGTGGAAAAACAGCAGGTTTCAAGCAACCAGAAGCCCCGTAGTATTACTAGCTCTCAGTAATCTCACAAGTGAGTCATCTTTTCCCACATACTTGGATAAAAATCAAAAGATGCAACCCATGAAGCACCACTGCTATGCAATCTGTTCACAGGGGTCCAGTATAAGCACTTCTAATGAATGGAAGTTGCACCGCAGCATTGTATAGCCAATTGCACTCCAAACACCTTTGGAGGCCCTTTAGTTTACGATAATGCTATTTTTCCAAGCTTCTCTTTGCAAATATGTTAGCTCATTATCATTGTTAAAGGGGACAGGAGAGCTCTGTTGTACCCAGAGACAATAATAGCATTTTTATAGCAATTGGCTATGATGGGTAAAATAGAGCTTCTAAACAGCAATACAGAATATCTCTGAGCAGCAGTTGCCTGGAAGAAGGCTGATTCATTATTGGGTATCATGCTCTTTTTGTTTTCTAAAAAGATGTAGATAATCCCTTAAGAAATTCAGATCAGACAGATCTCTGGATCATTTCAGAAAGATCTGTCTTACATTCTTTCTGCACAAAGGCATTTTCAGAATGACTCTGTTATAAGAAGCCAAATATTCACTATTAGGTAGCCCTTGCCCTAGTAGCCCTTGTAGAACTCCAATAATAAATCAAGTATAGGCAAGACACTGACGTCACAGGCAGGTTTGCCTGTGGTTTCCCCCCCTCCCCCCATTTTTCATCCAGCTGCTTGCCAGTACTGTGAGTCACCCTCATTATGTTTAATGTGTGCCACATCAGGGAGAGAGAGAAAAAGGTAGTTCAGATGACAGGTGACAAGGAAATGACTTTAAATCAGCCTTAACCTGACCTGGCGCTCTCCAGATGGGTTGGATTTTAACTCCCATAATTCCAGTCAACAGGACAGAGAAATCTTGTTTAAATTTATTGGATTACATGTCTACAGCGTGCCAATCTTTCCAGAAATTGACACAAAATCCCTGGAAAGTACATAGGAAAGGCCCCATGGGAAATAAGGTATTTGCTTATATGCTATTGCCCCAAAATGAGAGTCCAGCTTCATTCTGCAACCATTCCCATGCTCACAGGTCCACTTTCAAAATGGAAGGGAAGTACTTTCCAAAAACAAGGAGGCCATACCAATAGTAGGGATAGTGGTGACAATCTCTCCCAGTTTGAGCTTGTAGAGGATGGTGGTTTTCCCAGCAGCATCAAGACCCACCATAAGGATTCGCATCTCTTTTTTGCCAATCAGGCTCTTCAGCAAGTTGCCAAATATGTTCCCCATGGCAGCAAGTTCAACAGTGCAGGACTAGGCTTCTTCTGTTCAGCTGGTGTCAAAATCCTACAAAGGTGGAAACTGCTATTAGATGGAGAAGCAACAGCTCCCTATAAAATGACTTGGAGTGATCAACATAACCACGGGAACAGATCTTGAAGCGAGAGAATTAAGGATTTATAGGCTAAACAAGACAGGAGCACATGTAACTCTTCAAATACTATAAATCTCTCATCAATCCTTACTCTTGACAGATTGTCTAGAAGTGACAATAGTGAGCATCTAGCTTTGTATTAGCAGTCCTACAAGAAGGTAGGCTAGAGTAGCAGGTAAATTATGTACCTTCTTATAGGTCTTCTGTGAGGTTTCCTGGTTCTGAAACATTTCTGAAGACTAAATACATTCACACTTAAGCACAAAACTCTTAATTTAAATTAAATAGGCACTCATTGAAATCAATACAACACTCTCAGTGATTGCCAACAGAAAGACATATAGGGAAGTTCTTCTCTCTGTGGTGCAGTATCTCTTTTAGCTCACTCACACACATATTTAACACAGGAAAATCTCTTGTATAAGGGTGCACAATCTTACTTTAAGTGAGCAGTACCCTGAGGCTAAGCACCAAAAAATGCTCTGAGCCAAGACAAAGAAATAGGTACAGGACAAAAGCAATGCTTTCACATTGTTTAAATTTAAATGGAATTACGATATAATTAACGCATTGTTTGTATTGTTTTAATCATTTCATTCAATTACAATAAAGACCACAAATTGATAACTTTTCAAGCAGCTCTGGGGATCATGTCCAAAACTTTGGTAGGCTGAAAAAAAAAAAAAAAAACTAAGGCTACCTGTTAACTTCAAGCAAAAAAAAAAGTATGACATGAAAACCGACTGAAAGCTTGCTTTCCTGAAACCTTCTGCAAATAAAATTTAACAAAGCTTATTTGCCTACCATGCATTTTCCCACAATATTGTCTACATTTGCAGCAATTAGAGCTGCTTGAAAGAGAAACATATCAATTCTGTGTAGTATAAGATTTTTTTCTTAGTTGGTCAACTGGAGGCCATTCTTGGTTGAAGAAAAACAGAAATAGCAACTTGTTATAGTAGCCCCATAATTTCTCTGCCTTCCTTTCAATAATCATGGAATATTAACCCCATTTGAGCATATCATCACTGACGCTTAGCAACATCCATTTCATTCACTTCTTTTAAAGCTCTCCAATACACACAATTCATTGCCTAAAAACTATCAAGTGCCAATTAAGTTCTAAAAACAAGTAAAACAAAATAAAATCAGTCTTCATTATACATAATTTCTTCACCAAGTATGCAACTTTGGGTAGGGTCAAATACAGTAGTAGGTTATATGAGTTTAATATAGCACACCCAGGCCCCAAAATTTAAGGAATAAAAGGAATATTCTGTATGTAGGAATACAAGGTCAAGGCCAGGATGCCTTAGTAGACAGAGATATACAGAAGGTAAATAATGTATTTAAGTTTCAGATTATGTGATATGTTTTCACACAGGTGCAATCCAATTTGGAAGAGTTCAGGACTTTTACACTTAAAATAGCTGCTTATTTTTCATCTAATATTATCCTTATCCCCTAGTCCCACTAGAAAGCTATTTTTGAGGAAGGTTGCTTTTTTAGAAAGCAACTGGACTTCCTTGTTTTTTCTTTGAAGACATTTCGCTTCTCATCCAAGAAGCTTCTTCAGTTCTGACTGAATGAAGGTTGAAACTTCTTGGATGAGAAAATGTCTTCAAAGGAAGAAAAAAAAAAAACCAAAAGTCCAGCTGCCTCCTGAAATATAGCACCTTTGGGACAAGCATGACCCGGACGACTGAGAATCTTTAGAGACTGCGGAAGGAACATGCCTGAGACCCATGAGCATTAAAGCATGTATGAATCCACAGATGGTGCTGGGGGCAGGACAGGCTTGTCAATACAGGGAGAGTTCAGTCCTGGGAGGAACAACCCTTTCTCCTGAGTCACATTAGTGAAAAGCAGTCGAGAGGCAAGGGGACACATGTGCCAGGCACTGCCTGGCACACAACGCATGCCAAGCACACTTCATTGGGCCAATGCTTAGGCCATGGACAAGTCCTTACCCCACTTCTCCCCCACAAAAATACAGGCAGTCCAATAGGCTCAGCTTCCCTGCCCAAATTCCCCAGCGCAAGAAAAGGGCCACCACCACTCCTCCTTCTCCCTTTGATTTCACTTGGGAGCCCAGAGGCCTATCCACACATCCCAGAATCCCTGGGTTTACACTGGAGGCCTCAGGAGCCCCCTTTCTTTAGGACCCTTCTTTCTTTCTTCCACGCTCTTCGGCTCCACGCTGGTGGGATTTTCCCACGAGCGATTATTACAGCCTTTTCCTCCTCCTCCCCTTCCTCCTTACCTTAAAAAAATTGTTTCCTATTGTTTCCTTTCTATTTTATTTTTCTTATATGAATCCATGTATTCATCACTATGTTTTGACTTATACCTATTACCTTGTAAGCAATTGACAAATAAATAAATTACGCCGGGCCTTTGCAGTCAAGAGGCTCAAACATTACCTTCCCTACCTTTCCGACCCCCCCAAATACATTTCTTAAAGACAGCCCCGGGCTTCTCCCCTCCAGCTTACGACGCCCCGTCTGAGCGGCACCCACCCAAAGGGGGTGGGTGGGTGGGTGCCATCTACCCACCCGCGTGTTGCAGAGCACGCAGCCCCCTGCTCCTCCCGGACACACGCGCCTCCCGCACCGCGGCTGGGAATCGCTCGGCGGCGGCGGCGCCGTCTCCGTTGCCTCCGAGCTTGCGACAACCCCCCCCCCACCCCCCACTTGCAACGCGCGCGCTCCCGTGGCCCCGGCACTGCGGGGCTGGAGCCGTTTGGACGCCTTCCCTCCCTCCCTCCCCGTTATTGTTTCGCCTTCCAAAGGAACACCTCCACCACCCCACACACACATAGTACGCACGGCCTCCCTTCCTGCGGTCCCAGCCCCCTCCCGGCCTCCCACACGCGGTAAACGCCAAGAGAGGGAAGCCACGGCAGCCACCTCGCTTCTCCCGCCTCCGTGCAAGCCCTTGGGGCCCAGCCTCTCCCCATCGCCCTTCGGATTTCCGAATGACTTTTTTTTTTTTTTCCACGGGAGCCCCAGGCCGACCGGCCTTCTTCAAACCTTCCCTCCCACCCCGCTGCCGTCACCGAGCTTGCCTTTCTCCTTTCAGCGCCGGTATTTCTTCCTTTCTACGCCGCCCCTCCCCTCCCCCCCCCCCCCCCCCCCCACTCCCACCCGCTTCCCCAGCCCCCGCTTTCTTTCTGGTCACTCGCGGCCGCTTCGGTCGCCGCCGCCGCCCCCGCCAAGCGAGCCGCAGGCCCTCCAGAGCACCCACCTGCTCCCCGCCCGCGCGCCTCCGCCTCCTGCTGCCCAGCTGACTCTGCACTCTGCGTCGTCCCCTTCCCAGCCGGAAGCAGCGGCGGCGGCAAGCGGCAAGCGGCAATGAAGCAGGCCCGTGGACACGACGCTCTCGCGAGATCTCGCCCACCCACCCCCGCTCGCCCAGTCGGATCGAGGGCGTTCGTCTCGCGAGACTGTGTGGCCATCGTCTCCATGGTAGCAGCTGCTGTACCGCGCGCCCGCTTGTGGGGGGGGGGGGGTTGGGGGGGGGGGGGGGGAGAGGGGGGAACACTGCCGCGTGGAGGGGCGTTCTTGAGTTGCATCTTGGCTTTGATGTGGTTGTTTCAATTGAGATTAGCTATCGGAGGGCTGCTGTGTTTGCAGAATGGCTGGGAGACATTGTGCCCGAAGTTGTCAGCTTTTTATGTATATATAAAATGATATGTGTGTATAGAGTATATCTAAATGTACCCACCTTTACTATTTTGCCTTCATGCTTGATTTGAATGATGAATTTCGCTTTTGCTGGCAAATAAAAATAAAAATCCAACGGAAGGCCTGGGGAAAATTGTAATATGAATAAGTTGTAATGCACCTTAGTCACTAGATCAGGCTGGACCTAATAATACCTAGGTGCCATCAGGAACTTCTTGGTCCATTGTTGAGATGCTAAAATTCTTAAGTAGCCTAGAACTTTTATCAAAAAAATAAAATTTCTAGCAAGACAATTGTTCAGTCGCTGCCAATTCTTCTTGACCCAATGGATCAGTTTGGGTTTTTTTTATTCTTGTCAGCTTATGCTTTCTCTTTCTCCTCCAGTGATATCGGATGCACTTTTGGATGACCCAAAGGGTCAGGCTACAGACAGATCATTCCTTCTTTGTATTCAATAAGAGTTTAACTGATTTGATAGCAAATGATCAGTTAAGGTTATACTTGTGTCATCTGTTTTGCTATCCAACCCCCTTGCCTACTGTCAGCCTCTTTTTTTTTTTAATCTACCGGTACATTTAGTTTTTTCAAGTTTTGGGGCCCAGCCAATGATTCCTGCTTTATGCGTCCAAAGTTCTTCACTTTCAAAATGATGTCATCGGCATATTTGAGGTTGTTAAGATTGAATTTCAATTTCTACTACATCATTTCTTATTATTTATACAATATAACCTAACCTAAACCACCTTCAAATATTTCTTTTCCCAATTTTTAACAGTAGTGTATTGAGTTGCTCCATTGTTGCCATCTTTGTATGAGAGTGTTCCCTTGATTTTCCTAATTCTCTTAGATATTTCTTTTTTTTCTTTCTCCTCATCCAATTGTTCTCCTTAGTTTATTTGCACAATTTCATCTCCTCCTTTCTCCTGGCTGTTCTCTAAAACTCAATATTTACTTGAGAATTCGCTTTCTGGTTTTTTTTTAACTTTCACTTTCTACCTTTCATCAGCAATTTTCACATGCCAGCATACAGTCACTTACATCCTTCTGCTTTTTACATTTAGGATATTTTTGTTTGCTTCAGCTTTAACAGTGTGGTACATTTCGGTTTAGAATCCTTCAAGCAGTCTGTTTAGCCAATTTAATCCTTTAATTCTTTACCCTTGCTGCACAATCATACGGGACAGGGCTGAGACTATATTCTGGGACTACTGTATTGGTTTTATTTTCTTCAAGAAAGAACGAGTATTGTTTAATTTAAAGCCGGGGGAGAACTTTTAAAAACCTAGTTAAAAAAACAAAAACAGGATAGAATATAAGATAAAAATAGAACATCCAGCTCTTGTTCGAAAATCCTAGTAGTCTTATTGTGCTGCAAATCTTTCTTTAAGTTGGAAAGTGATCTGATTTGTGGGCAAATTCAAGCAACCATTAAATTGTTACTCAGGAGCTTTTCTGATGTTTTTGTTTGTTCATAATATTAAATCTACTTATCAGACAATAAGCCCCAATAAACTTAATCTGACTTCGAATTGTTATGTAAAGAATTACACCTTAAGGGAGAAGAATAACAATTGATATCCTGTCTATATTCAGTACTACTAAACCTCATGTCTGAGTTCAGCTGTGCATCATAAGACAAAATTTTATCAACCAAATTATGCAAACAGGCTAACTTACAGGATGCATCCAAAACCAAGGAGCATTTTTTTATTTTATGATAAAAATTATCGTGACATTTTATGACATAATACAAAATGTACACAGAACATTTCCTAATGTTTGTGCTGTCCAAAATGGTCTAGTTTCAAGGCAAATAAATATCTGAATCTCTGTCTGGATTTTTAAGAACTTTTCAAGTATGTTAGAAGCTCTGCCTTTGCTGAAGGAACTAAAGAATCTTTATATTGCTTTTTTAAAGTATAAAATAGAATATAGAGTTTGAAGGGACCTTGGAGGTCTTCTAATCCAACCCCCTGCTGAAGCAGGAAACCATATACAGTGGAACCTTGGGTCACAAACGCTTCTTTTCATGACCAAATCAGGTGACGACCAAAAATTTCGGAAAATTGTTGCATCTGGTCGCGAACAGATCCTCGGGTGACAATCAAATACAGCCGTGGCTATTTCCCCTGCCGCAGTGATTACCCCTGCTGTGTCATTTTTTTTTGTCCGTGCATGCGCAGTCAGTCTTGTTTCTGGTCATGACCAAATCGGGTTGCGACCAAGGTCCTGGAATGGATTATGGTTGTAACCTGAAGTTCCACTGTACCATTTCAGACAAATGGTTGTCCAATCTCTTGTTTAAAACTTCCAGTGTTGGAGCGTTTACAACTTCTGGAGCCAATTTGTTCCACTTATTAATTGTTCTGTCAGGAAATTTCTCCTTAGTTCTAGATTGCTTCTCTCCTTGATTAGTTTCCATCCATTGTTTGTCTTGCCTTCAGGTGCTTTGGAGAAGAGCTTAACTCCCTCTTCTTTGGGGCAACTGCTGAGATATTGGAACACTGCTATCATGTCACCACTAGTCCTTCTTTTCATTAAACTGGTAGTATAGTATGGTAAATCTGGTTAAGAAAGTATCTCTGAAATGATGACCCAAAGGATCATGAGTTGCTTATAGTTCATATAAAAAACTGTCTCTGTGTCTAGTTGTTTTGGCATGCAATGCCCTGTAGCGGCATCCCAAGGGGAGATGTTGGAACAGTTTATGTCCAGGATGTGTGGGATCTGTAGATATTTTCTCAGTCCTCTTTCTGACCCGTGCAGTGTACAGATCCTCAATGGAAGGCAGACTAGTTGCAATTGGTTTTTATGCAGTCCAAACATTGAAGTCTGTATCTGTCCTGTTTGGTTGCTGTACCAAACCAGACAGTTAAAGAAGTACAAATGACTGACTCCATAATTCCTCCATAGAATTGTATCAACAGCTTCTGGGGCAGTCTGAACTTTCTGAGTTGACAGACCAGTGGCAAGCTACTTCTATAACTGTCTTCAGGAAAACTTGACTTACATAGATGGTTTAGAAAACAGCCTCAGTTGAGAAACTTGACTTACATAGATGGTTTAGAAAACAGCCTCAGTTGAGAAATTGATTCAATATACACATGCCACAAAAGCCTATGAACATTGCACCCACCAGCCAGATAGCTTTATATCGGTTTTAACAGTGATGTTGGAAAGAAAAACTTGAATTCCCTTCTACTTTTCACATAAAAAAATTAATATTATAGACTGCATCAAATCACGTTTCATGTCTTCATGCTGTTAAGAAGGGATGAACATAATAGGTCTTGGATCAATCCAAAACAGTCTGTATTACAATGCTGAAATAACGTGTGGATAAATAGCAAGTAGGGGCTCTAAATGCTTTGTGTTCCTCTTGTTTGAACTATGCTGAGTTTCAGTTAAAACTGAATACATTTAGTGTTCTGTTGTGTCATAGATTGTTTTTTCCTGTATTCACTGGGACTTTTCCTCTTCCTCAACTATGATTTGAAACAAGAATACACTGTACTTAAGACACAGCAACTTCTCACAAGACATGCCTTTAGATTAGTGTTTGAAGTGGACTGAGCTGTTTCCATGTTGATCTATTGCAGCCGGGTGCATTGTTCCAAGTCCTAGACTTAGATTCTTCCTGCTATAATGGCAAGATTTTGCATCTGATCCCACTCTGACAACTGATTGGCATAGACCTTTATTTACTTCTCATGAAGTTCTGAAGGTATATTTAATGATGCTGACAGATTATGAAGACATGATTACTGGTAAAATAATGTCTTCCATGTCAGATTTTATGGCACAAAATTCATATACAGTTTGCTAATGGCATAGTGCCCGGACACAGATGTGCCTTTGCCAGTGAAGCAGGCAAAAAAATAAAGATAAGCAGCTGAAATAGCAACTGAACTCAATGGCTAAATCCAGTTATTGACATATATCTTTAACTCTGACTAATTCACTATCAGTGACATTTTGAATATGAACAATTGAATTCTATAGCAAATTAATTATTGACAGAACAGTTCCTAAGAAATCTATTAAAAGCAAATCCTACTGAGCTTTTACTTACTCTCGGGTATGCATAAAATTGCAGGCTATGGCCTTAATATTCAAATTCAGTGTCTATTGGTGTTATACCATTGTATCGTGCACAGCTATAACACAAAAGCATGCTGAGAAATGTAGTAAGGAAAAAAGACAGAAATTGTCACACAGATCATCACTGAACTGTTCTTACTCATCATAAGGTAGTATTCCTGGACTACAGGACAATAAGATTATCAAAATAGTAGGTCTGCACTGTTGGAATGATATAAATTCTCATAAATGTACTGCACCATAAAATTCTACAGCTAGATTTCATTTTGCATGTTGCCTGAACGGGTTTCAAATATTTGGTGGATAGGTATGGACATATAAGGAAACATCTGTTAGCATTTTTTTTCAAAGAATTGAAAATTATTTCTATTGGAATAGTTGCTCATTTTGTCTGCGTCTATCTCAGTTTCAGCTGTACTAAAATGCTTTTGAGACAACACTAAAACCTGCAAAACATGTTTGACCAGAGATGACAGTTAGTGGGTGAGAATTATGTAGACGCAAACCACAGGAAGTGAGTCCTTTCTCAAAACTACATTCAGTCTTTAAAATTTCCACTATGTTGAACATCTGTTGAAACAGACAAATCCTTAAAA